AAGTTACTCCCTTGTTAATAGTTTCAAGTTGGACCAGTCCTACTCAACCTTTCTGTAGTGGTTATACAGACATTTTGACATGATACCAAATGCCTTGATCCCTTCATGCCACTGCTAAAAACCCCATGATGGGCCAATCTCGCCTCTTAGTCGCTAGTTGTTTAATGCTGATAGGACGACAAAGACTGTTCTTTCTCAGTACTACAGGTTACTGATGTGGTTCTTCACTCCCACGACACCTACAGCAAGTCTGTGGGTCGACATTCATCATGGTGAGTCTCATATCTAACTGTTCGTTCTGGCTCCTGTGACCCTGAGCCCATCCCTAGTTGTCGATGATGGCTCTTGGACCTTTTTCTCCACCCTCTCCACAAGATGAGACCGTACCGCTCTTTCACCCCCCCAAAACAAGGACCGTAGCTGTTCTTTAGGCTTTTTTCTTTAGTCCGGAGCTGTTCAGTCAGCCGCGCTCCGTTGTTTTTCGCGCTCATACATTTGAAACCAATGAGATCAACGGCTAGTTGCTATATTGTTAGCGTCAACCTTGAATTACCCAGGTGTTTTCATTTTGTTCGGCTTTTATAACATCCTCTCAGAAAAACAAATCATGTATGGGTAGCATACTATAGATCTTTGTATATGTCTCTTCCTCTTTCCTCTTTTTTTATGTTGTCTTTCCTTTCCTCAGCATATGTTCTCCTGATCTCTAATCCCGAAGCATTGTTTATGTCCCCATAAATCACATTTTACAGTCTGTCAAAGTAGTTTTTCTTTCTTAAAACCCAGCCGAAGTGCTGCTTAATGATCCTCTCTATTATTTGACAGGGATCACTGATCCAGGTGTCCTTAAATGTAATCGGTGTGACAGCTTCAGTATTATATACTGTTATAGTATTTTTATTAATATTTCTCTTTTTTTTAATGTTATATTTCTCAACTATTTTTGAGTTTTTAGTACTTAAGTTTATTTTATTTATAAGCTTATTAATCCAATCTTTATTTTATTTCAGCTTTTTCAGTTGACTGATTGTAATAGTTTTCACTTTACTATAGAACAGTCTAACTACAGTCTTAACTATCTCACTATAGTACAGTTGTACCTCCTATTAATCCTCAAATTATCCTAAAATGCATTTTGCCATAAATTAATTATTATTTAAAAAAAAAACGATTTCTAGTATTGAAGATTAATCAGTAATCTAGTTGTTACACAATATAGTCAATGCTTGTTTTTCTGATATGCATGAAGCACAATACTCACTCTCTTGTGTTTTTGCTGTCTTCAGTGACCAGGTGTCACCCAGTTCCACGTTCTGTAAGGTGTACACACTCACCCCCACACTGTGCAATAACAGAGAGAAGAGGGGCCTCGCTCTGGATGGACAGCTAAAACATGAAGACACCAACTTGGCCTCCAGTACCATGTAAGTGGCCTTCAGCTGACAGTGCATAACATGCTTGTTTTTACATGCTGCCAGAAAAAAAAGGCAATTCGTATAGTATAAGCTTTAGTACAATTTAAGTTTTTAGTGCTTATAAATTTAACCTAACCCTTGTGTCCACTCAACCAGTTGTATGTGCTCAGTATGTGTTTCCTTGTGCTTACAGAGTGAAGGATGTGTCTAATAAGGAGGTCCTGGGAATCTTGGTGTCCTACAGAGTTAAAGTCAAGCTTGTGGTGTCTCGTGGAGGGTGAGTGTGTCCTTTTGACACAGAAGTACTTCAGACTTTATGTTTGTACAGAACGTCAGAAGACTTCATCCAAACACATTGTCTGTTGTTAGTGATGTGTCAGTGGAGCTGCCTTTTGTCTTGATGCACCCCAAGCCCTCCGAACAGCCCAACTCTAGACCGCAGTCAGGTAACAAATCTCAAGTTTGACATTTTGTGTGTGTGTGTGTGTGTATACATTTTTTTAAATATTTATATTATTGATTTTTAAAATGTATATTAAAATGTCTGATAACTTATTTTTGAAACAATAAAACAGCAAAATAACAATGTATTATTATTATTATTATTATTATTATGAATTTTAATAATATAGAAATATGTTTTTATATACAGTATATTTATATATTCCTTTAAATCTCTGATAATTGGTATTTTATTGTTTTTATTGACAATAACTAAATAATCATTAGACTTTATATCAATAAAACAATAACAACAACATAATAATAATAATAATAATAATAATAAATTGTAGTAGTATTTAATTTTTTATGTGTGTTTTTGTTTATTATTAATGCTTATGTTATTGATTTTATTATTATTATGCTAGATTTGTGCAGAGTTGTTTTATTTAAACATGTACGCATGTTATGGATCATTATATAAGAATATGTGTATATAAAAATATGAGTCTCTATAAACTAGCATTGTCCATGCTAGCTGTGAACATGATACTTGTAGCATGGTTCACTTTTGAGTCCTATCAAAGATGTATCATATTTTGTTTTAAAACAAAGGTTTAAATATGTTTTTCCATTTTTATTTTATTTTCCATTTGCACAGTTTTCATGATTTTTTTTTTTTTCTTTTCTAATCTGTGTCCTCCTCCACAGCTGTGCCAGAGACAGATGCCCCTGTGGACGCCAACCTCATAGAGTTTGAAACAAAGTGAGTTAGCTGTGGGTCTCTTTTATAGTATGGGATTCTTGCTTATTTTTGTTTGCATAACAGAACTCTCTTTTTTTGTCTTCAGTAATTTCTCACAGGATGATGACTTTGTGTTTGAGGACTTTGCAAGGCTCAGGCTGAAGGGAATGAAAGATGAGGAGGACGACCACTTCTGCTAACGGCCCCTACACACACACACACACACACACGACACCATGTAGAGGTTGTGAGGAAGGGCGACAGGGGTGGGGTGTCAACCTGCCAGTACTCTTATACCTCTGCTCCACTGGGCCCATATGATAGAGTGGAGTACTTACTGATATTGTCAGAGCTTTCTTTCTTTCTCTTTCTTTCTTTCTTTCTTTCTTTCTTTCTTTCTTTTTCAGCTCCTTTTCACACCATTTTAGCATCTGTGAAGTGGTCTTTTAATTGGCCTCTGTTTCTCTGGTCATATCAACCACTTCACTAGGGTGCTTATTTGTTCGAATGATTGAGGGAGAAGGAACGGGAGGAAACTGATGTTAGATGGTTCATCTAGACATCAATGTGTTATTGGTGGGCAAAGGGTCCATTGATTCAGGGGTGATTCATTCTTTCTTTACCTTTTCCTTTCTGTTTCCTTTCATTTTTTTTGTCATCATATTCCCACTTATATATCAAGTGGGCATTAATAGCTATGTAATTATGATATATGTTTTATGTTATTTCATTGTACAGTACATACACTGTTCCAAAACACCATAGGGAACTTGAGTTTGGTGTTAATTTTATTCAACTTTCCTTGACCCGTAATCCAATCCATCCATACTTGCTCAGCAGCTTTTATGTTATAGTTATGTAAAATGTATACATATCATACAAGACTACGTAGTAACACTTTTCTGTGCACTTATAGTGCACGCAATACTCGAATAATTAAGGACGTGGCATTTTTAGTGAAAGATTAGTTGGCAAAGTGCATTGGGACACAAGTGTCTGGTTTCTTATTGTAAATTTTAGCATCTGTTCCACATGTTGAGTTGTAGAATATGTACACACTGCTACAAGTCTTCAGTGCGAAATTAGCTTGTAGATACAACAAGATGACAGGGACAGGCTCTGTATGTGCCACACACACACACACACAATGTAATTCCTCATTATTTGTGCCTGCCAAAATTTATTTGCCAAAATGTGATGATTTATAATGTTGCTTGTAAGTTAAACCTAGTTTGGTTGAAAATCACATGCTAATTCTTTGTTTTAGTTGACAGAAACTGTTTATGTAACCATTGGACTGCCAGAAATATTTTGATGATGGTTATTTTAAAATCGCATTTATAGCATGATTTCCAGGAAATTTGACTTTTTATCTTGTTCTCCCAGGATCAGCCCATTCCTATGACATTCTACATAGTTTACTACTGAACAATGGCAAATTTGCTTATGTTACAATGTGTACAAGGAAGTAACATTTTGCAGTGAACAAAGTGGAGCTCCCATAGAAGGACAAAAAGCTATCTCTAAAATAAAGAATTGCTTTGTTTAAAGCACCCATACAACCATGTCAGTGTGCATACTTGCTTTAGATGTGCCTTTTCATGTGCTCTTCAGTTGAAAAAGTGGTCATGTCTGTCTTGGTTTTTGTTTTGTTTTTTTGTTTTCTGCAGAATATGAATTGCTTTAGCATTATTTTATGGGATTTTTTCCAATGGAAATGTATTACATTTATAACTTTAAGAGTCATTGGTGCAGAATACAAGCTGCGCCGGTAACTTGTTACATTATCCAACAAAAGTCAACAGTTGTTGAGAACAATTATATTATTTATAATCACAAAAAAATGTGGGACATGTAATTTTAAATCCAATTTCTATTTTAATGAAAGCTTGAAAATTAACCTGATAAATTAGCAAAAGTGTCTATTAATGTTCAAGTTACTGCACTGCCACATTTAATGTAGACTGGCACACAAGAGTGTATTTTTACTTATTCGCTCATAATGTGATTTCATTTAGTCTTTTTTTTTTAAACATGCGTTTAGTGAAATATAAAAAAATATCCTGGATTGTTTATTGAAAAAGTTCCAAACATTTTAAAGTTTTGTTTTGTAAATCAGTTAATATGCCATTTTTATTTGTCTATTCCAAGTAATCCACGTTAAGATTCATGTGTCTACTTCTCTCTTTGCGACTCGAGTAACTTAATGGCAGATAGGGAAAAGTCAACGTTTTAAAAAAAAAAAAAAAACGCACAAACGCTTTAAGTTTAGCATAAATTATGTTTTGTGATTTTCTATGTATTTATATCATAGATTTATAAACCAGTTGACATCTGTACGAACTGTAAGCACTTCGTACCAGTCGCGTTGACGTCATCTGAACTATACACTCGTCGCAGAGTTTGCTCGTCATACAGCGGCGCTAAGATGGCTTCGGCGGCTTGGCTGCATGGACCCAGCGTTACACGCTTAACAGAAGGGCTAGTGTCTGTCCTAAAGGAGGAAAGACCTGAGTATTTACCCGCTCTTCTAGCAAACTACCGTGAGCATGGCGTGGTCGGGACTCAGGTAGGACTGAAGTCTAACTGTTAAAGGTTTCTCCTGACGGTCTTGTCTAACGTACGCTGTGTTAGCGCGGACGCTTCTTTTATTTAAATGGAAGCGTCAGTTTAGTGTTTGTATTCATATGTAGTCTTAGCCTATATCTTACTGTTTCACTTGAAAACACACTGAGGGGATGTTCATATGTCTGTTTATATTAATGGCAGTGTCTTTGAATCGTTCCTCAGAGCACGGGAGCTGTGGGTGGTCTGGTGGGCATCAGTAATACACGGCTCGGCTCCAGTAAGACCAGGTGAGCTGTCAACAAAAGTAAAGAACAGTTCCTTTCAGTTTTCATACGTTTGAAGTCACAATCTGCATGCATGACCGAATTGTCCTGATGCTTAACTTAGTCTCTTCAATTATACTTTTATCTCAGTCCTGTTCTTTCTGATCAAAGCTTTGTTGAAATGCTTAAGTTACTGCTTCTTAGAATGATGTTGCATGTTGTACTGAATTCTTGTCGTTTTAGATAGAATTGCCTGCTAAATGATTAAATGTAATAGTAGGATTCTCTTTCTAACAATCAAAGGCTCCAGGATGATCCCTGACTGCATTTATTTAGAAACCATGAACTAGCTAATAAAGCTCTTTAGGATCTGTCTCCATTCAAGGAACAACTGATAGATATAACCTGTCCCTGCCCTACATATCTTTCTTTTTCAATAGTTTCTCAGAAGTACGTAACAATATGGAAGAAAAGATCTCTTGCTACTCCCATTTAATCTTGACTTTATGGTTTTCTGATTACATGTGTTTCAGGTTTGAGGGTCTTTGTCTCCTGTCTGTGCTGGTGAAGGACAGTTCAAGTGAAGTGTTCCAACAGCATTGCCTTTCATGGCTGCGAACACTGCAGCAGGTCATTCAGGTGAGAAATGTCTTCAGACTTTTGCCTTGTTCTTCTCTCTTCTTGCCTGGATCCACTTTATAGGTCTTGGATTTTTAGTTCTGTATGATTTAGTAATGCATCTACTGTTCTTCTCAAACACACAGTCGCAGTCCCCTCTCCCTACTGTGCAGCTTGCTGTGAGTGTGCTGCAGGACTTGTTGCAGTACTCGTCCCAGCTGCCAGAGTTAGCAAGGGAGGTGGGACTCAACTCCATCCTGGGCATTCTGACCTCCCTGCTCAGCCTAAAATCGGAGGTAATATGCATGCATGTCCTCGTCACATGTAGATTTACATCCATTAAATTCACCCTGTAGTCAATTTTATACCTTAAAACACATTTTTGATAACCACAAGGACATATTTAAACTAGGGCTGTCAGTTAAACGCGTTATTATTACTGGCGTCAATTTTTTTTATTGCGCGATTAACAGTCTTTTTGGCCTAGCAAAGTTTGTAGGGGTTTTTTTCATATGCTTTTGCAACAGGACGCAGCATACGTGGCGCTGCGCTATGAAACCCATTCATTTCAATGGCTTGCACTGCACGAGGAGGACGTTTTGATGCTTCGTCGACCAAAACGTTAATATTACGTTTTGTGTGGATGACGAGCATGAGACGCCGAAAAGGATGCCAATTAGATTCTGAATGGAAATCACTTTACTAAAAAGTTGCCAAAAGACCAAAGTGATCTGTGTTTTGTCGTTTCTTGAATCAATTTTCACCATGGGGCGGTCTTTTAAATGTAGTCTTGAATCATATTGAACTTGCCTAGTTGCATAGTATTTTGTATTACCTAGTAGTTCATGCCAAGCTGGTTTATTCTATGGAAATATATACACTATGTGTGTACAAAAGTTTGTTATTCAACAAGGACATATTGAATTGATCATATATGATCATACATGACTGTAAAGTCAATGTTGCAAAACGTTTCTTTCAATCAAAAGATTTGTATTAAAAAAAACTTTTTATTCATTAAAGTACAAAAATGTATCACAGTTTCTACTAAAATATTAAGCAGCACAACTGATTTCAACCTTGATGATAAATGTTTGAGCAGCAAATCCTTGTATTAGATTGATTTCTGAATGATCATGTGACACTGAAGACTGGAGTAACAGCTGCTGAAAATTTAGCTTTGCCATCACATATCAGATATATTAAAATAGAAAACGGTTACTTTAAAATTGTAATATTTCTCACTATTACTGGTTTACTGTTTTTTTTTTTGGTTTCAAATAAATGCATCCTGGGCATGACAGACTACTTTCAAAAAGCATAAAAATATCTTTCAAACAACAAACTTTTATCGATAGCGTGTACGGTTTAATGAAGTGTTACATTTTGTTGTCGCAAAAAAGTTTTAAAGGAAGCAAACTTTTTGTTTTGTCATAGTGCCACCTAGCTGCTATGAAAGGAATGATGGCGTGTATGATCTACTACCCACGGGCTTGCGGATCTCTGAAGGTCAGTATATCCATTGATTATACCTATTTTTTGATGCAGTTACTTTGGATAACTTAACATTGTCCCTTACAGGAAAAGCTTGGAGCGTATTTCCTTTCTAAGATGGACTCTGATAATCCTAAAGTACAAGAGGTTGGTTACATCCAGTTGTTCAGTGTTATACTGGAAATTAAAGGATACTGTCCGTAGTTGAATCAAACCTTCTGCATCATAATTCTGTTTTTTCATTATTGGTAGGTGGCTTGTGAGTGTTACGGCCGGTTGCCCTGTCTGGGTGGGCTGTTGGAACGAGGGGGAGGTGGACACAAGGCTGAGGGGTGGACCAATCAGCTGCACAGCCTACTAGCATCAGCCAATAGCATACTGGAACAGTTTTACCAGGGCACAGAAACGGGTATGTTGCTGGAGTCAGTGTTTTTTGTTGTATTGAGAGAAACAAAATTGTTTTAATTCTGTGCTCAATGTTTTTAGAAGGGACAGTGCAGTATGAAGGTCCTGGTGTGGAACTCCCCTTTGCTCCCCTGGATGATGTAGATCCACTTCTGATCCTTCAGCTCCATCACCGTTACAAAGCTATTTGTCTGGCTATTAAACACACTCTTAGGTTGTGCTATTGCTCTGTGGCTTAATTAGTTTTATTTCAAATGCTGATTTTTAAAAAAAAAAAGTTTTGTGTTTTTAATAATATTGAGATATTTTACTTTCCTCTTGTAGTGTTGATCCCGCGTCTTCGGTCCGTCTGCCTGTTCAGAATGTTCTCAATTTGGTGTGTCGAGCTTTGGCTGTCAACACGAAGAGTATTGTAAGGCTTCAAGCATCTCTCTGTTTTCATGCATCTAAATTAAATTGTTGTCGCTGTTCATGATATGATTCACTATACTTGCTTAACATTGATGTGGACACTAACAGAAGGAGTTTGTTTCAGAGTCCAACCGGAGAGGGCTGTCTGAAGCTGTTGGTTTTACCCTCTGTACACAGCGACACTCTAGAGCTCCTCTCTGCTCTCATCAAGGCGTAAGCATGAATCTACTCTTTTAAATTGGGACATTCAATAGACTTTTGTTTTTATATACAGCTAGTTATAAATTATATAACCTAATCCTTAAAGTAAACAACTATTTTTAGACCATTTCTTTTAAATGAGGATGTCTCCAACACATACACCCCAGCATCTGGCACTTCACACAAATAGATAGGGCCTTAAAACTGTGAGACATGTCTAAATGCATATCATATTTAAATGCCTGTTTTTGGTTAAGTAAACATAAAATAATGTATAACATAAGAGAGATCCTAACAATTATTGACGCAATTGAATATTTAATATTATACACACAAACTTTATTACAGGCTCCAGGCCCAACAACAGTACATACACCACACAAAAAACAAGAATAAAAATTACATATACAATACACCCTTTTTTCACAAAGATCTTAAAAGGCACTTATACCAATGCTTCCATAGGTGTGATTGGTATCGGACCGAGCTACACCTGGGACTTGTGAGCCTTACTATAATATAGTTTCGTGACTCATCAAGTCGACCCATAAACTTAAACATTAGGTTCCTCAAGAGGGCCTGTAAACAGCTTACCCTCGAGTCACAAAAAAAGCTTACTTGCACTGCTGTTCCTGGGCTTCTTCAGCAGTATCCTCAGACAATCATTATATGCTACCTGCAGTTTGCGCATAGTCTCCTTTCTGTAGTTGACCCATAATGGGGCTGCATACATAGGGGTACAGTAAGCGCGAAACAAGTGCACTTTCACATCATCAGAGCAGTAGTGAAATTTCCTAACTAACATGTTCGCTTGCACATACAACATTCGTCTTTGCCTATTCATGTCAGCATCATCTTCCATCTTATCAGTAATGATATGCCCAAGATATTTTGTACAGTTAGATACACAGATACAGTGCCCAGACAGGTAAAACATAGGAAAGTGCAGCTTCTGATCTTCCTTAGTCCTACAAACCAAAACAACACTCTTCTTTGCATTGTACTGTACATCAAATTCAACCCCATACTTGGAGCATATGTCCAACAACTGCTGGAACCCAACAGTACTGGGGGACATAACAACTAGATCATCTGCGTACATCAGGTGGTTTAACAGAGTGTTCCCTATTACACATCCCGTCTTACATATCCCCAACTGCTTTGAGAGGTTATCCATATATAAGTTAAACAGTGCCGGAGACAATAGCCCCCCCTGCCGTACTCCATTACTTGCATTGAATGGTGACGATAAGCTATTTCCCCATTTAACCTGCATGCTTTGTTTTGCATACCAGTAAGCCAGTATACGTATGATGCATCCTGGCACACCCCTAAGCATAAGTTTATTGAAAAGCTTCTGATGATTTACTCTTGGACGCATCAATAAACCCAATAAACATTGTAGAGCCCTGGCTTCTATAAGATTCAACAGCTTCTTTCAAAGCATAAATACATTGATCAGTACTGTGTTGAGACTTAAAGCCAAATTGATTTTCCGTGGTGTAAATGAGACCACTGATTCTATCTAGTAGCATCTTTTCAAACACCTTTGAAAGAATGCTAGCTAGAGCGATGGGTCTATAGTTATCCAAACTCCCTATTTTCCCCGCCTTGTTCTTAATGATGGGCACTAATGTGACGGTCAACATGGTGTCTGGCAGTACACCATGAGTCAGCAGCCCTGTCAGGCAAATAGATAGAAGTGCATAGATTATAGTGCATGAATTGTTTAATTGATTGCTGGTTAAATGACTTCTGTTCAGGAGTAGCTGAAGTATATATTTAATTTTTTTTGGTACAGTGTGGGAGGTGGACTGGTCCAGTATAGCAGTGTGCTCACAAGGCTTTTCTCTCAATCTCTGTCTGCATGGATGCCTCTGCCTGAGTCTAGTCTGGGCCAGCAAAGAGCTTACAGGTATTACGGAAACACCATTGATGACCAGAAATATGAAACCATTTTACGCCTTGTATTAACATTCATCTTGGGTAATAAGTGGTCAGATGAGACCATACTATTTGTACATCCATTACAAACAAACCTTAGATGCTTGTGCTTTTGCAAGTGCTTAAACACTTAATTTTCCACGTCAGTGTGTTTCTCTGTTATTGAAGCACAAAGTATGCATGCTCATTGTTATTTTAGTCAAGTGTTTAAGCTTTTAACGTGTATGATGTTATATTTTGCCCATAGTGCAGTGCGAGTGGCCGTGTACCGTATCATAGAACTGTGGGTAAGAGTAGGGGGTGTCTCACTGCTTCAGGGAAGCCCCTCCCACACAGAGTTACTGTTCACTCATCTGATGGGTGACATCACGCCAGGATCAGAAGCAGTCAAGGTAAGATTAAGGGTGTTTGTATCAAACACCATAAGGAATGTAATTAGTAACAATCAAGGCCCGTTAACAAATAGGACAATAACCAACGAAAACGATAAAGATACAGTTCTAATCGAGGAAGGATGCATTAAATTCATCAAGTGACAGTAATATTTCTATTTCATGTAAGTGCTTTTTTTAAAAACTTTCTATTCATCAAAGAATTAGGAGAGAAAAGTATCAGTGTTTCACGGTTTACAAAAATGTAAAGCAGCGCAATGTTTTTTAACATTGAAAATAAATGTTTCTTGAACACCATATTGTCAAATTATATTTTAAAGTTGTATTAAATTGAAATAATGTAAAACATCACCCCCAAATGTGTCTGGTGGCCATCTTGGGCATTGGGTTGTCATTGAGTTTTAGAAACTGAATTAATACATTAAGTTATAGCCTATTTCTCTGTCTTCTGCTGTTTAGCTTCGTTCTGGACAACAGTCATCAATGACTGACCTGATTGGTTCTGCTGGCAAGTCAGGTCCTCGTCGGACTAAGGGAATAGGAGATGGAATGTCACTACAGAGGAAAGGAGATGTGCTAGCCAATCAAGACACATGCGTTGCTGCTCTACGGGGTGAGAGCTCAGTAACGATCAGTTAATTTCAAGTTTTATTGGTTGAAATAAATAGCTTTTGCTAATGAAGGATGATTCCTTTACAGCATTAAGACAGATCATTTTGACCAGTGGAACTTTGTTAAAGGAAGATCTGCAAAAGGTTTGTTCATAACAATTTGTTCATGCTTGGGTATTAATGTCTTTTTATGTTGCGTACAAGTACGGAAAAGTGTGTTTTACATTGTTCTTCTTAACACGCACTCCCTTTTTAGAGGATCCAAGACCTGGTGGTGCCTCTGTGTGTGCGTCTACAGCAGCAGGCTCACTGTTTGCTGGAGGTCGGTGCTGTCAGTGGACAGTATGGCAGCCCTACCCCTCGCCGAGAGCTCTACCGCCTCTTACTGGCACTTGTGCTGGTGCCCTCTCCCCGCTGGCCTCCTTCCCTCTCCTGCGCTGTTTCCATCTTCAGCCACGGCCGGCGAGATCGCAACATCATGGTTAGTGAACATCGTTGGTCAAAACTTGGGGTTGAAAGTGGTAATCTTGTAGTCTACTGAAAACCCTGTCCAGTTAATCTAATTGATCAGAGCATAACATGCTAAATATTATCCACGGTCATGTTGTCTTCCTGGTAAGTGAATTTAAAGGGATACTCCACTTTTTTTTGGAAATAGGCTCATTTTACAACTCCTCCAGAGTTAAACAGCTGGGTTTTACCGTTTTCGAATCCATTCAGCCTATTTTCTGATATTTAGAAGAATATCAGTAACCAGACTGTTTCTTGTCTCATTGACTTCCATAGTATTTTTTTTCCTAATATGGAAGTCAATGAGACCAGAAACTGTCTGGTTACAGATATTCTTCTAAATATCAGAAAATAGGCTGAATGGATTCGGAAACGGTAAAACTCAACTGTAACTCTGAGGGAGTTGTAAAATGAGCCTATTTCCAAAAAAGTGGAGTATCCCTTTAAGTCCAGATTTATCAAAGGAGTTTTATTAGTTTAGACAATATACAGTGGCCTCAAAAAGTCTTTAAATGCTTGTCACACTAAGTGGTATCTCCACACAAATTTTTTCTAGAACTTTTCTCAGAATTCCCTTGTCCAAGCCATTTTTTCCACTTGGTCTCAGTTATTTTTCATGGTATATGGTCAGTTCCTATCAGGTTCCAGAAGAAGAGCCCCTGGTGTAGTTCATCACAAACAAATCAGAAACATTTTCAGAAGCATCAAAGTGTCCAGTACTTTTTGTTTGAACTTTTTAATGAAAAGTTTACTTGATTTATATATTAATAGCACGTACATAGCTATATATTGTTTATTTTAAAAACAAATGGTGTGGCATTTTGCCATTTAATTGTGGCTTAATGTGTCCAAATACATTTTGGGAATACAATTATAATTTTGCAGCTTATGTAGCAAACATTTTACTGAAGTGCTTTTACACACACACACACTGGCTTGCTAGTCTTTAACTATAAGTTTAACAGATATCCCATATTTTGTGTTTTTGCTCGAGATAAAATGCTAAACAAAAGGTTGAACCCTGAATATTCCTTGGCATCTAAATGTTATCCACCAGAGGGAGTCTCACTTGTTTGCTGATTTACAGTATTTCTCTGCTAGTTTCACATCATTGTTGCGACTCCCAAATGCATTGTGCTAATGAAAGCAGAAGCACTGAAAAGGGCCACAGAGTTGAGTAAATGTGTGTTGTAATAAGAGGCTGCTGAAATCAGTGTTGACATTCAACAGGGTATTTAAGGAACACTTTACAAATAGGTTTAAGTATTATGTGCTAACAATGAAAAACATTCTACAACATTTCCTAAAATAGGTTAATAATTTATAACTATGCTATTGTTTAATGTTAATTTATACAACTTAATGTTGAATGGATTAGTATATGTAGACATTAAAATGTACAGGATTTATTAATCTAGATGTAGAAATCTACTAGAAAATGTTCATGATGCATAATGCATTATGCAGTGAATGTTAATGAACCGTATTAAGTGTTCCTTGTATTTCTTATTTGTGGATGGTTTCTCAACCTCAGACTACCAAAAATTAACTTATTTTTTTTCTAGATATGTTTTCAAATGCTTCATACAGTAAAAAAAAAGTAAAGTTTGGAAACTTGGAAAATAAGTCTCTTATGCTCACCAAAGTTGCATTTATTTAATCAAAAGGAGAGTAAGAACATTAAAGAAGTAGTTCACTTTTAAGAACTTTTGCGGATAATTTACTCACCCCAAAGTCATTCAAGATGTCCATGTCTTTCTTTCTTCAGTCAAAAAGAAATTAAGGTTTTTAATGAAAACATTACAGGATTTTTCTCCATATAATGGACTTCAATTTACTCCAACAGTTTCAAGGTCCAAATGACAGTTTCAGCTTCAAAGCGCTTTAAACGATTCCAGGCGATGAATAAGAATCTTATCTAGCGAAACGATCGCTCATTTCAAAGATAAATAAAAAAGTTTAAGTTTTATAAGCACAAATGGTCGCCTTGCTCTGTTCTGTGATGTCCGTTCATGACTCTCCTGTTCGAACTCGTTCATCAAAATTAACAAATCTTTTACTGAGTCATTTCATATTACTTTGGGTTTTTTTTTTTTTTTTTAATGAGTGATTGTTTCGCTTAAGACCCTTATTCATCGTCTGGAATCTTTTAAGGCCCTTTGAACAGTTTGCAGTTTCTTTTGGACCTTGAACCGTTTGGTTCCCAATGAAGTCCATTATATGGAGAAAAATCCTGGAATGTTTTCATCAAAAACCTTAATTTTTTTTCAACTGAAGAAAAAAAGACATGGACATCTTGGATGACATGGGGGTGAGTAAATTATCAGCAAAAGTTTTTTGAAAAGTGAACTACTCCTTTAAATATAAATCTTTTGTAACATTATAAGTGTCTTCACTGTCACAACTGATCAATTTATTGCATCCTTGATGGATAAATGTTAATTTCTCTCTTTTTTTAAGTCTTACCACATATGCTTGAATAGTTTCATTGTTACAAAATGTTAAGCAGCAAAAACTGTTTTCAACAATAATAATAAATGTTTCTTGAGCAGCAAATGCCATATTAGGATGATTTTTGAAGGATCCTGCGACACTGAAGACTTGTGTAATGGATACTGAAAATTCAGCTTTGCCAGCACAGGAATAAATAAAAGAATATATATTTGCATTTAAATACAAAACAATTTTAAATTGTAATTGTATTTCACAATATCACTATTTTCACTGTATTTCTGATTAAATAAATGCAGCCTTGGTGAGCATAAGATACTTTTTTTTCAAAAACATAAAAAATAATGTTTCCAAACTTTTGACAGGTACTGTTCAGCTTAAAACCTTGATTTTTAAAATGGGTGTACCAAAATCAAGCCCTTTGCGTACTTTCCAGTTTAAACCATTTAATGGCTATTTAATGAACTATTTAAACTATTTTAATTAACCAAACCTGTTTGAACATGAAAACATGTTTTTAAAAAGAAGTCTCAATGTATACAGCGACTGAAGTTACAACAACATTCATTTTAACAAAGTGTATTTGTCCTCTTATGTGGCTGTTTGCTTTCACTGTGAATGCTCATTTTGGGTTGTGTAGTGGCTATTTGCTTCCGATGACGCAAGAGTCTGTAACTGGAGACGGTGTTTCATATTTACAAAGGTGTACAGAAAAGTAGTAAGATGTTAAAAAGAAACATTATACCTGACAAACTGGTTCTTTTATTGTTTTCAAATAATAATAGGCTAAATTTAGCCTATTTTATGACTAGAATACTAGTCTACAATACTAAACTGCCTAGAGAGCATGGCCCTGGCATAGACCTGCCTCTGTCTGTGGTTCATCGCACAGTTATCAGATTTCTCCACATTTGTCTCACATGTACACTGTTTAAAAAGGATAGTTCGGCCCAAAAAAAGGAAAGTTCTGTCTTCATTTATTCACCCTTATGTTGTTCAAAACTAGTTTGATGTACTCTTCTCTGCAGGACAAAATATGGGGATGAATAAATAACATAATATTAATTGTGGGGTGTCAATGGATTATTATTATATAAATTAAAGAATTTGCCCATAGATGCCCCAAAATTAATATTTATTTACTCCATCATGCAATCCCAGATATTTTACTTTGTTTCTTGTTTTTTGTTGACTTGTTTTTCTAAACAAATTTGTTCTACAAAAGAAAGTCACATATATCTGGAATGGCATTGATGTGAGTAAATGAAAAGGGGTATTCCTTCTCAGTTACTATTACTCTTTGAACAACGGCGATATTCATTATCTGTTGGCATAGTCAAATTTGTACTGACCTCGGAAAATTTCATTTGTGTATTTATTCCTACAGGTATCGTCATTCTGTGCTGAGGCTCTGACCATATGCAACACCCTTATTCATCCTCGCACACCCTCAATATCTCTCCCTCTCACCCCTTTAACTCTCAAATCAACCGCATCTGCCCCTGTCCTTGCCTCTGGCCAAAACCCCTCACTAACCCTCCCTACCCTCCTTGGTGGAACCACAACAGGGCCTCCTTTCCCTGCCAGGCATCCCATGGGCTTAGGCCCTGCTTCCCTCCTTGGCTCGCTGGAGAACCATCTACCTTTGGCTCCTCAAGTTCTTCCAACTCCAGCAGGCACTACGGCCAGCCCAGGTGACCTGCTGCTCTCTCCGTCCCAACCGGGTGAACTGGCGGGCTTCGGAGCCCCTGAAAGCCAACGACAAGTTTTTGTCCGTTACGACAAAGAAGAGCCAGAAGATGTGGAGATCTCTTTGGAGAGTGATTCAGATGATAGTGTTGTTATTATGCCAGCAGGTATGATGATGGAGATGCAAGATGGAGCGGCAAATGCACAATCGTTGTCCCAGCCACCGGTATCTGTGGTAGGTGGCCTGCAGACACCCGTCCCAGTAGTGGGAGAGGTTGGGTCTGTTGACACCGCGCTAACTAACGAGCTGCCCACCTCCATTCCCCACCAGATTCTGCCAGCTAGCGTTAATAACATTAACTCTTTCCCTGGACCAAGCCAGACAGCCCAGCTTGTGTCTCTGGTGCCTCCTCTAAACTCAACTGCAGCTTCACTCTCAGCATCACCTGCTGGTCTTGCGGATTCACTGACTGGTGGCCCACAACTTCAACAGATGCTGATGCAAAATTCTCCAGGTGGGCAGCCGCCAACGCTGGGCTTGTCTTTACAGATGCAGCTTCAGAACCAGATCGGCCGTCAGCTCCAACCGCAGCCTCCAGGCAATGACGTGGACCAGAATGTCATCAACATCAACAGCTCGGATGACGAAGAGGATGATGAAGAGGAGCTGGAGGATGAAGAATTAGGAGAGGAGGAAGAGGAGGAGGGGCTGGAGGAGGAAGAGGAGGAAGAGGAAGGCAGCGAATTCCTGGATGATGAGTACTGTGAGGCAGAGGACTTTGATGACTATGATGATGAAGAGGCGGAGGATGAGGACGAAGAGGAGAGTGAGGAGATCCAGCCGTTGGAGGGAGAAGATGACAGAGGGATGATGGGCGACGAGGAGGCTGAAGTCATGTTTGCGGCGGAAGAGCAGCAAGGAATGGAAATGTTCTGCATGGAGAGAGAACGAGAAGTAGAAGCAGGGATCGAGGAGATGGAGGGTGTGAGGAGCGTCTATGTCGATGACCGGATCAAGGAGAAGGGGACCGTGGAGGAAATTGAGAACATTGGAGCGGTTGAGAGAAATGAAGCTGTGGTTGGCAAGCAACAAATAGAGACTCTTGTAATTGGTGGAGATGCAGAGGGCCTTGAGGAGGATACCATAGCGGAGGCGGTTGAACCTGAAGTGAGAACATGTGAGCAGGAAGTGGCAAGGCCAGAAGATCCCGAAGAAGAAGCTGGGCCATCACAACAGGGACAAGAATTGCCTGTAGAGGGCCAAGTTGAAGAGCAAGAAACAGAATTACAGCCCGAAGACAAAACCAATCCGAGCGCACCATCCACAACAGAGCAGGAGGTGTTACAGAGTGCAGATGAGACCGTTAAGGAAGAGAAAGAGAGCGAAGAACAGGAAGATGATGCAGATGCTAGAGGAACGAAGAGGAAAATGGGGGATCGTGAAGAAGGAGAGTCTGCTGAACAAGGCATCGAAAAGAAAAAGGTAACGAGTAATATCCATCTAACCTTGGTGATTTCTTTCTCTTAGACTCGAAATGCATTCATGCAACTTTCTTAAATGTATAAGTAAATTTGCATGTAATATGCACCTTCCTGAAACGCTCCTGTTTTCACAAACGCTTTGTAAACATCAGATTTGATAGTTAAACTTGTATGTTAATGAATTCCTATCATTTGTAAATGGGTCGCACGTCCACGCCCATCCACAATAAGCATAATCCCCGCCTATCAATTAAAACTACGCAAATTACATGTTCAGGAACGCTGGAGAATCTTCTAGACTCAATTCTCAAGTTTGGCTCCAATATATTGCATAAATACAAAAGAATAATAGGCCATATGCCTAACAATATGTATTTCAATTAATGTGTGTCCAAAACGTTTGTAGCCAGCTGAAAATTTGCCTGGTGCTCTTCTGAAAACAGCAGCTGGTGGCCTTTGAGAGCACTTTGAAGGTTCAGTGTTTTTCCAGCTGAGTCATTTCGTTGCTATGATTTGGTATATCCATGGCAGTTACCATTATCTCATTTTGAAGAATATTATTGAATATAAAAATGCAGTAACCAGCAATATTACCTTTTCCATTGTACAAATAGGATAGTTGGTCTGTGTAGTTTTTTTTTTTTTTCGTCCCTCCTCCACTGTCATTGGACAGCTGGGTAAAAACGTGATTGACAAGCACTGCGTTTTACGCAAAGCTTTGAACTCCATTTCAAGAAAAAAGAAAGAAATATTATTAAAAAAAAGAAATATTATAGTGCATCAAAATGCAATGCCATCAGTTTGCCTAAAAGAACATTATAATAGTGTACGCACCATTTAAATGTGGTAGGGATCAGGTGTTAATTTTGTACCCACTAACATTTTGAAAATACCAGCAGCTTTATGAATCGAAATTTACATCAGAATGGATTTATGAACAATTTACAAAAATTCATTCTGCTCGTGTTTCATGCCTTTAGTATGTTACTACCCCCAGCCTAGCCCACATACAATAATTTATAATAGTGGGCTAGTTGTAATAATTGGTACACTAGTTGTTATATACTACATAGTATATTTTTTTCCTGCTATGGAAGTCGATGAGCCCAGAAACTGTCTGGTTACTGATATTCTTCTAAATATCAGAAAATCGGCTGAATGGATTCAGAAACGGTAAAACTCAACTGTTTAACTCTGAGGGAGTTGTAAAATTATCCTATTTCCAAAAAAAGTGGTGTATCCCTTTAAGAATTAGTGAGTTAGTTAATTTATAGAGTACAGACAATGGAATGTTAAACATTTAATTTCTTACTTGAATGCTATAGTTATATAGGCCTACTGTCGTCTATGAATTACTTTAATTATGTCGTAAAATTAGGTGTCACATCACCACCACTATCCCAAACAGTTCAGAATTGTGAAAGGTTAGCCAATGTGATTTGTTGCAAACATCTCTGTAATAACTTTTTTTTTATGATAGGATGGGAATGATCAAAAATCAGGGCATAAACATGCCGGTCAAGTGAGTTTTACTTTAAAAAAAAAAAATAATAATTATAAATACATTTTAAAATCTGTCATTCAATTAGTTTCACATTTGTTTTAAACATTTTTGCTATGGTATCGATTCAGTTTTGGTATATCGAGATATTTTAGCCAGATATCGTTTCGAAGTCATAATTTTGTTATCGTGACAACACTAGCATAGAGTATGCTGCTGTCCTCAGTTTGAATTTTTTTTTTATCACTATTCAGGAAGCCAAAACAAATGAGAGTGCCTTGGATGTCTTACAGTAATATCGCTTGTGTGTAGTTTACTTGTTGCTTGTACTGTTTATATCTCTTGTGTGTAATTTACTTGTTACTTGAACTGTTTATATCGTTTGTGTTTAGCTTACTTGTGACTTGTACTATTTATTATGGTAATGGCATGTAAACACGTGCAGACACTAATAGTTGCTTGTACTGGGGAGAAAAACTTAAGCTCAAGAATTCCCTCAAGCTCACTCTCTCCTCTTTCTCAAACTCCTTTCCAGAAAGATGATGAGGTAATGGCTTCCATGCTGGCAGACTTTGTTGACTGCCCACCAGATGACGAGGATCATAGTGCCTCACAATCACAGCCCTAACATGACCATGCTTCTCATTCACTCTCTCACATCAGAGGAGCACTGCAATAATTGTAAGGTCCTGAAAGATCCCACATAGTCACATCTGACTGATCATGTCCCATCAACCTCTGTTGTAGTTGCACTTGAGAAGCTCCAACTTGGTTTCTTTGAAAGAGTTTAAGGTTTTCAGGCTATTACCATTGGTAAATTGTTGAACACAGCAAAAACTATTCATAAGCTGAGAGATGACTTTTAGGTGGTCATTGTTTGTCTTTTTATTTTTCTGGCAGCTTAATTAATACAAGTATGATGATACTGTAGTTTCAAGTATTCAAGTCCTTTTATCATTTGGACAATATGGTTAATTTTTTGTGGCCTCTTTTTTTTGTAATATCGTTTGTATATGTAACACATACTTGGCATTGTTTAACAAGATCATGCAATAAAGTGAATCTGTTATGATGCTTTGTTCATGGATTCTGTAGGAAGTAGACAGTATGTTTTTAGGTGAAGTAATTTATAACCTCAATTTGAGTGAAATTGTGTTGTAATGGGGAACTTGCTGTATATTGAGTGTTCTCAAAGGCCCTTAACTGAAAAGCTCCTGTAGAAATGTCATGCAAAATAAGACCACAGCAATGCATTTATTATCTTTCCTGATCTTGCTCATCCCTGACGCCTGAATATTTTTGGTATTATTTCAAAATGAGTGCGTTCCTTTTAAATGTTCACTAGCGTTATCTTCTGATAGCATGCTGTGATTAGATAAAGTCCAGCTCTTCCTGTATGTTGTTAACGGGATGTGATACCACGACCTTTCTCAGTAATATCTCTTATACAAAATATGCCATTTAAAACATAGTTGCATCACATGGTTGAATGTTCATCCACACGTAACTTTGAGTTTACACTACTGCTCAAAAGATTGTTGTTGATAAGACTGGGTCAAGGCAGACAACAATTTTTTGAACAGTACACTCTAAAAATGCTGGGTTGTTTTAACCCAACTTTGGGTCAAATATGGACAAACCCAAATGTTGGGTTAAAAATATCATTAAAAAGAATTTACCCAATGACTGGGTTTGTCCATATTTGAGCCAAAGATGGTTTAAAACAACAGCAATTTCTAGAGTGTAGCAAAGTTACAATTTCTTTCCTAAAAAACATCCCCCAAACATTTGAACAGTAGCGTACGTACATCACCTTCTCTTTATATAACATCCCAGAGGACAGCTACACTAACAGACACAGGAACTTGTTTACATTACACACCAATGTCTGTTGTGTGCTTCCTCAACCAAATATGTTTTGCATACTTTTGCAACATATTTTGAACTTTGTATCTATTATTGATTATAAATGTTGTTTATAAGTTAGCATGTCATTTTCATCCAATAAATCATGTTTGTAAATAAAAAAACTAAAACCTTTTTGTTTAAAACCCCTTATAATCGATATTCTGCATCAAAGCTGATTGTGTAACATGAAAAAGACCACTGAATAATAAGTGAAACTTGTTGGTCATTTGGTATTTACCTGTGGCCTGTTAAAAAAAGGTAAAGTTTTGCTTGTACTTCCACACAGAATGCCATTTTTTACAAGTAAACGGAACAAACTGTATCAATGACCTTGCTGCGGAGTTTTTGGCGGTCTGGCTGAAACGTGATTGGACTTGATGAGATGTACGGTTGATGTGAAAGTGTATTGGTTTGCGTGTGGTTTCGCAAGTTCAGTGCAAAAATATTCTAATTTTGAGCCTTGTGGTATTTTCTGTGAGCTAGCAAAACCCACTTCCTTGAAATGAAATTCAAAGAAAAATGAATAAACAAATGAGGTGGTTAAAATATCAGTCTTCAGAGGACTATGACGGTGGTAGAGGGGGAAGGGAGGGACGAGGGAGGAGACCAGTGCAAACGGGACATTACAAAGCTAATATCTGCCTGATCCAGTCACTCACTGAAACTTCAGGGTCAGCTAGCAGGCGGTTCCTGTGTACAACGGGGTTTGCAAAAGGGTGACATGAAAGAAGGAAACTAGTTGTTTGAGAAAGAAAGAACACTGAAGAAGAGAGGCAAGATAATCTGCAGTAGGGAAGGAGCCACACCATTTTACAGTGGAAAGGTAATTTTTTGCACATTTGTTTGTCAAATTAATCTGTGTCTGTGACCCCTAAATGAAAAGCACCAGAAATGTACAGTCACACTCTCCTCCCGGTGAAAAGTAGTATATATTTTTGTTCAAAGTTTATATTGTGAGGGAATTTTATGGAACTAATAAGCAATAATTCTAATATATTTGTTTCCTATTTCATTTCTATGTGAGGAGTACAAGTGTGATCTGATCATATCCAATCAAATCATATCCAAGATTTATTGTGTATGAATGTGTGTGTGTGTGTGTGTGTGTGTGTGTGTGTGTGTGTGTTCACATAGCAAGTGCCACAAACACATTTTGTGGGCTTGTACTAATAAGAGTACAACGGCACATCAGAGTTTTATTGACAGGCGCAATGGTGATAAGCTTGCTCTAAAATGTATTGAAACCAAATTGATATTGATCTAAAGTTTCTTGCTGGGTGGATGAAGGTTAAATATTACCAGACAGATCCTCATTCAGGAAATAAGGCACAACAGCGTCAACTAATAATAGAAACGCTTTATATTACGTTTTTGTTAACATAAGTAATGCAATAGCTGACATGAAATAATAAACCCTGTTCATTTTCATTACATGTTCTGGTTGTTTTAAATAAACATTAGTTAATGTATTATGAGCAAACATGAATTAACAATGAACAAATGCCTTTACCTATTGATTAACTAATGCTGTAAAACATGTTTTCCATAGGGATGTGTAATGCATTAACTAGTGTTATACCAAAAACACAATGAACTCCTTTAATTGTGTTGTGTTGTATTTGTATTGGTACAAAACAATGGAAGCTCACAAGATCAAATGACACTAAAGTATTTGCCTGTACTGGGAGTCTGGAATCTTTTTCGATAATGTTTAAAGAGTTTTAATTTTAAATTAGTTTTTAATATTATTAAAAGCCCTGCACAGATCTGATTTCATGTTTAAATGAAAATGAATCAGATCTATTTTCACAAGGTGATATAATAGCGCAAGACATTCCTCTGTCATTCAGAGGGAGACTTTCACTTCCACAATAGCTCACTCGCTTTTGTAATGTCCAGTGCAAACATAAATGGATTGCACATATCCTTTGAGGGAAAAGACTAACATCTGCTGTAGCTCTCTGTTGAATAGTTCCTTTAACTGAAAAACGAATTACGCTTCTGAGACTGCTCTGTGTCTGGCTGAAACAAACAGTAAAAATATCTTACAGTTTGTTCAACATTATTAAATGTGTATGTGTGCAGAGATGGAGTACAAAGTTACCGTGGCCACCGGGACCTCGGAGTATTCAGGAACCAATAACTATGTGTACATAACTCTGGTTGGAGAGAGAGGAGAGAGTGAGAGAACCGTGCTGGACAATCCAGGCCTAGACTTCTGTAGAGGAGCGGTAAATGCAGTGAATATGTTTGTGTGCTTCTGAGAAGCACTTCAATGTATTAAGTACTTCACAGACCAGGCTTAAAATAGTCCTAGACTAAAATGATATATCTTAAAATATGTCAATGCTGTTGTTTTGTCTCAAGAAGCACACCAGTAATGTTTTTTTTTCTAAGGAAATATGTAAAAATCTACTTAAATGTCCTAATTGAACCAAATCCTAATCCTGGCTTAATCTAAGCCCTGTCTGTGAAACTAGGCCTAAATGTCTTAAATATAATATTTCTTCAATTCTCCACGTAAAGTGCAGTAGAGATCATTTGTTATTTTAATAGGTATTTTAAGAGAGGCTAAAGTATTTGACATCACATTTTAGAAGAATTCCAATGAAAAAGAAAAAAATAATTTATTCAAAATATCACATCACACTTTCCAAAAATGTAAATCTTATCTCTTAGTCTCTAAAAAAATAGGGACACACCAATGTTAAAATTCTGACCGATAACAATAAGCCGATCATTTTTTTCATGCAATTCATACTATTTAGTCATGCTATTTTGTAATACTATTGTAATGTATGTAGTGTTGTAATGTATTGTAATGTCTAATGTAGGCCTATGTCTATATGAAAAATGAAACACTTAAAGCTAAAAATGAAAAAGTGTACTGTTAAATCACAACATTATAATTCACATTATGAAAAATAGATAATCATTCTGATATTTGATAAAGATCACATTTGTGTTATTGAATTAGTGTTTTTAAAGATGAACTTTAAGTGAGCATTAAATTATGCCCATGTGTTTAGAAAAAAATACTTAAAAGTAATGCATGACAATATTGCTTTACTCTCTAAAAAAGTAACTAATCACATAACTTACATTTTATGGAAAGTAATGTTACATTACTTGTAGGTGACTTTTTCTCACCTGAGCTGGGCTTGCTTGTTTGTTTTATTAAAAACAATTTGTTTATATATTTTTAGCAAATGTAAAGGCCCTTTTACACCAAAAGTGAAAGCCTCAGGCTGAAGGAAATGCAAAGTCTGGCCTGTACAATAAAGGACACAGCTTAAACAAACCTCTCTGCTGTGCTGCCGTTCGGGATTTCAGAAGAATATGATGCAGAAAAGGAAATTTAACACTCTTACTTCAGCAATAGAAAAAAATGAAACGCAAATGTGATGAGTCATTTTGGTTTATTAGAATGGCTGAATCGAATCATCAAAGGTCAGCAGCAAAAAACATAGTATATTTTTGTAATTTAACATTTTCATACTTTTTTATGAGTTTGCATTTCACTGTTTCTGAGAAATACAATCAGTTTATGTGCAAGTGAGATGAGTAAATGCATGCTCACTTAAGTCTAGAACTACGATAAGCATCATATTTACACAGCGCACACAACGCCTCTGCCCTTACTCTTGATTTTTCTCAACATGAAGACAGAAGAGGTGTGTCAGTTAATTCATGGGAAAACAAAGTAACTTAAAAGTACATAAAAGTAATGCTTACTAACTTTACTATTTACTTTTAACTCTTAACTTGTAATGCGTTAGCCCAAAACTGATGATGGCAAAGGTATCGAAATGTACAAATGTGAAATGAGCAACACAATTAAATATACAATATTGATGGTAATAATAAATGAAAAGACCTCTGTTTCCATCATTTTGCAGGAGGATGATTACACGGTTAGCAGCGCAGCTGATTTGGGTCCCCTGATACTGGTGCGACTGGAAAAGCAGAAGTACTGGGTGGAGGATAACTGGTTCTGCCGATATGTGAAAGTCCGTGTTCCTGGAGAAAGATGCATCTATACTTTTCCATGTTACCGCTGGCTAGTGGGAGATGGAGTGGTAGTAGAGCTCAGAGAAGGCACAGGTCAGTTATAGTGTCAGCTGCTCAGGCAGCAACAACTAAGATTGATCTGAGAACAAGATGAAACCCTGTGATTAAAAGCTTAAATCTGGTTTCTCCTTACATAGCCAAAAAGCTGAGTGACGACACCTTGCCACTGGAGATAGCTCACAGAAAGTCAGAGCTTCAGGAGAGGCAGAAAGTTTACAGGTCCCTTGCGAAATTGCATACACTTTCTTATCACTGCATTCCAAACTTTGTAATGAATGTAGGCTACTCCTTACATATAACTGTTAAACTCCATGTCACACCTATTAGATGGCTTGCATGGGCCCCCGGCATTCCAAAATGCATTGATGCCAAGTCAGAGGCCGATCTCCCCCAGGACGTTCGCTTCGACAATGAGAAACGCAGTGACTTTGTGGGATCCCTTCACTATGCGTGAGTAAAAATGCACAGCAGGTTGTAAGAAAAAATCAAGTGGACGTCGAAGATCTCAAAAATGAAGTTTATTTACAGTTGCAAGGCACACGAAGCACCTTGGGTTCACCGGCGTCAGAACGAACCCCGAACTCATCCCAGCGCAAACATTTTATACAGTATTACATCCATTTTCCCCCCTCAGCATGTAAATGAAGCTTTCTCTTAAATGTAAATCAAGACAAACAGATTCGTCTTCTCTATCAGCGTGGAGCTGAAACTCTGTCTTTAAATGTAAATTGAAGAGAACGTTACAAGTGGTGCCTCCGTGTCTATGTCTTTGTTGTTCCAAACTCTGTCTTTAAATGTAAATCGAAGAGAGCGATACAAGTGTTAGAGTGATACGGTCAAATGTTTAAAGGTGATAATATCTCTCAGAAACTCCCTAATCAAGATGGTTCTTGAATACCCACTGTCTTTCCCACTCTATAGTTGATAGACATGAGTCTGTGATACGTTTAAGATTGTAAGGAATTGATTCTATGATAAATAAGCCCTTTTAAGTGAAGGAACATTTCAATATAATCTACACTCACCGGCCACTTTATTAGGTACCCCATGCTAGTAACGGGTTGGACCCCCTTTTGCCTTCAGAACTGCCTCAATTCTTCGTGGCATAGATTCAACAAGGTGCTGGAAGCATTCCTCAGGGAGTTTGGTCCATATTGACATGATGGCATCACACAGTTGCCGCAGATTTGTTGGCTGCACATCCATGATGCGAATCTCCCGTTCCACCACATCCCAAAGATGCTCTATTGGATTGAGATCTGGTGACTGTGGAGGCCATTTGAGTACAGCGAACTCATTGTCATGTTCAAGAAACCAGTCTGAGATGATTCCAGCTTTATGACATGGCGCATTATCCTGCTGAAAGTAGCCATCAGAAGTTGGGTACATTGTGGTCATAAAGGGATGGACATGGTCAGCAACAATACTCAGGTAGGCTGTGGCGTTGCAACGATGCTCAATTGGTACCAAGGGGCCCAAAGAGTGCCAAGAAAATATTCCCCACACCATGACACCACCACCACCAGCCTGAACCGTTGATACAAGGCAGGATGGATCCATGCTTTCATGTTGTAGACGCCAAATTCTGACCCTACCATCCGAATGTCGCAGCAGAAATCGAGACTCATCAGACCAGGCAACGTTTTTCCAATCGTCTATTGTCCAATTTCGATGAGCTTGTGCAAATTGTAGCCTCAGTTTCCTGTTCTTAGCTGAAAGGAGTGGCACCCGGTGTGGTCTTCTGCTGCTGTAGCCCATCTGCCTCAAAGTTCGATGTACTGTGCGTTCAGAGATGCTCTTCTGCCCACCTTGGTTGTAACGGGTGGTTATTTGAGTCACTGTTGCCCTTCTATCAGCTCGAACCAGTCTGGCCATTCTCCTCTGACCTCTGGCATCAACAAGGCATTTCCGCCCACAGAACTGCCGCTCACTGGATGTTTTTTCTTTTTCGGACCATTCTCTGTAAAGATGGTTGTGCGTGAAAATCCCAGTAGATTAGCAGTTTCTGAAATACTCAGACCAGCCCTTCTGGCACCAACAATCATGCCACGTTCAAAGTCACTCAAATCACCTTTCTTCCCCATACTGATGCTCGGTTTGAACTGCAGGAGATTGTCTTGACCATGTCTACATGCCTAAATGCACTGAGTTGCCGACATGTGATTGGCTGCTTAGAAATTAAGTGTTAACGAGCAGTTGGACAGGTGTACCTAATAAAGTGGCCGGTGAGCGTATATTGGAGTGGAAGTTTGATCGGAGCAGACTGTAATTTCTTACAAGGTTTTGCTCAAGTATTATGCTTTATTAAAGTGACCTGATATTTTAAGGTGCGTAATCATGTGTGTTCCTCTGCCTGCACATCATTGTATTAGATAAACCACTGTTTTATCTAACCATTTTTTTTTCCGGCCTGTCAGGCTTTTGGAGCTCTCTCTGAAAAAACTGGCAATCAAGTTCGGGAAGTCGTGGAATGACCTGGACGATTTCAAAAGGATCTTCTGGAAGCTAAGAAGTCCTATAGCTGGTAACAACAATTTTTATACGTTTTCGGTTGCAGCCCATACGTAATGCATTTGTAAAATAATGTGATTATCAATATTAAACGTATAAATCAAACCTGCCTAATGTTACTTAATGAAATGTCAAGCCAGGACGAGCTAGAATGTGCAAGCTAAATGTGCAAGGTTGTTCATGTTTTGATCATCCTTCTGAATCTGATCCATGATGTAGTCGGACAAAAACGCAATTTTCTTATCTTTTTGCTTAAAAGTTAGCTTTTTTATGAAACTTGCCCAAACTTGAAAGTGTTAAATGCAGGGAATCTATTAAGCTAGAACACACAGGTTTTTAGTATTAAAAGCCGATGGCTCTGTTCTTTCTTTTGCTATTATTACATGTTAAATGAGAAGTTCACTTTTAAAAAAACTTTTGCTGGTAATTTACTCACCCCCATGTCATCCATGTCTTAAAGAAATGAAGGTTTTTGATGAAAACATTCCAGGATTTTCTCCATATAATGGACTTCAATGGGAACCAAATGGTTCAAGGTCCAAATGAAAGTTTTAGTGCAGCTTCAAAGGGCTTTAAACGACACCAGACAATGAATAAGGGTCTTATCTAGGACCCTTCGAGCCATGACTCATCATTTTGATGAACGAGTTTGAACAGGAGAGCCACAAATGCTTGCACAGAACACAGCAAGGCGAGAATTTGTGCTTATAAAACGTAAAGTTTTTTATTTATTTTTTAAATGACCTATCGTTTCGCTAGATAAGACCCTTATTCATCGTCTGGTGTCATTTAAAGCCCTTTGAAGCTGCACTGAAACTTTCATTTGGACCTTGAACCGTGTGGTTCCCATTGAAGTCCATTATATAGAGAAAATCCTGGAATGCTTTCATCAAAAACCTTAATTTCTTTTCGACTGAAGAAAGAATGACATGGACATCTTGGATGACATGGGGGTGAGTAAATTATCAGCAAACGTTTTTTAAAAAGTGAACTACTCCTTTAAGATATTCAAACTAAATACTCCAGAGGCCATGAAAGTTTTGTGAAAATATAAAAAAAAATTTTGCCGCTGGCTTGTATTTTATTTGGAATAGGCTGCCAGGGAAAAAGTTAAAGGAGAACTCCGGCGAACAATGAAACTCGTATAGTCAACCGTTCTCTGGGATTTGTTTTCATGATAATCGAATGTAAAGAGTTTTATCTCTTAAAACTGTTTAGCGTATAATGCTAGTAATGGGGGCATTGAGTAAGTAAAAAGAAATCGCTAGTTTATACCACTAACAAGGCTCAAAATAGCCCCACACTCACACAGTAACATAATAAGGCTCCATACATACAAAACGAAGCATTGAGAACTTTGTAAGTGTACAGACCGTTTAATAAGAAGATACTTTATGAAGACAGTTCACTTCGCGTATACAGACAGGAGCCATCTTAAAAAATAGTCTCGATAAGTCAAACCACGAACGTCGTGCTGAGTGATCTGAACTCTATGAAGTTCAACGAACTTCTTTTTTTTTTTTTTTTTTTTTTTTTTTATTGCAGGTTAACAAAACAGTAACACATACCAGGTAAGATTCAGTGAGACACATCTACAATACAGAAGTAGGAAAGGGGAAACAAAAAAAAACAACAACAAAAAAAACAAAAACAACAGAGAACAGAAAAACTCACAACAGCCCCACACAGTTATCGACAAAGTGGTATATGTAGGCACACGAGATCCTTTCTGTGATGCAATTCGGTAGTATCTGAATAGTTGTAGAGGATATGATAGAGACTTTGACAAACACAAAGAAACATATACATATATATATATATATATATATACACACATACATACATATATATATATATATATATATATATATACATATATACATACACGCATCTGTATTAGTGTTAGTGGTGGCAGTATCAATGATAGTATTTATAATGATAATATTCATGACAATAATAATAATATAGGCTATAGCAATCTACAACAGTAGTGACAATAGCAATATGACAATAAGAATACATTTAATTTTATTTTTATTGCACATCTGCTCTAAACTCTGGGTCAGAGGGCTGACCCAGAACTGCCAGTGAGCGCAACCAACAGGCCCCCCAGACACAGATGTTTCCCCTCGATTCAATAACACGATTCCCCTCCACCACCTTCAGTGACACCCAACCCCCATCGTTATACTTCTGGGCTACATTGAGTTTTTCCACCGGGGGACCACAACAGGCACCTCCAAACCAAGCTCCCCTAGTCTGTTTGTGACCTGACACAGCCAAGTGTTATTGGTGGTTGGTCCCCCTCCCCCTTTTTTTTTTTTTTTTTTTTTTTTTTTTTTTGTCCCATGGTTTGGACCGAGGCGTACACTGGTTAGCTCCCTAGCCAGAGACACCACATCCAACCCTGGTATCACTTAAAAAGAATTATTTTACTTGATGGGAGGGGTTTGGCTAGAGGTAGTGAAGGGGAAGGGCCATTTAGTCCAATCACTAACAGGGCGTGCTAGCCGCGCCCACCAACAGCACCCGGGCCAGACGCCCAACCAAGTTAAAAAAAAAATATAAATAAATAAAATTACATAAAAATAAATAGTAATAGTAAATAGAAAATAATGTTACTAATATTTATACGTAGTATTTTCTGACTGGTTACTTATAGAGAGAAAAGAAATGGGGGGCTCATAATTCTATAATAATAATTATAATAATAATAATATATTTCATCTTCCATACTACCACCACCCTATAAAGATATATAGCAAATAGTGATAAAATGCAGATTATAAAAGTATACAGCTTATCAAATATTATACATATACACATATACAAACATTTATATACACGTACACATACATACAAATACATCCATATATACACACACATTCATACCTATATATAAGGGGCATCTATTATAGTGCTGTACAGTAATACACAGATAATATTTTATTATTAATTTGTAAACATGTGATTGGGGAAGTGCGTTGGTCCGGTCCCAGGCTACTGATGTATATGAAGATGAGTTAGGAATGGGTTCCAGATATCAAGAAATTTAGAAATAATGTTCTTGTTAGTATATGTTATTTTTTCAAATGTGATGTATTCTATTAGAAGGTTGGTCCAGTGATTGATGTGTATATGGTTTTTGGACTTCCAATTTTGCAAAATTACTTTCTTGGCGATAGTTAGAGAAATTAGGAGTGGGTTTTTGTAATTGATTGGGAGATTATCAACTTCAATGCAGTTGTTCAGTAAGCAGAGTGATGGAGAAAGAGGGATTTCACAACCCATGATAACGGATAGTTTTGTGGTCACTGATATCCAGAATGAGTGAACTGACTGACAGGTCCATAAGGCATGAAAATAATCATCTGTGCTCCCCAGTGTGCACTGTGAACAAACGTCTGTGTCCCTCAGGCCCATTAAAAACATCTTCTTTTCGGTGATATGAATCCTGTGAATAATCTTGAACTGTATAAGCTGGAGGTTAGCATTATTAGTCATTGAAAATGTGTTGTTACAGATTTCTTTCCAGAGGTCGGTGTTGGGGGAGAAGGTTAAATCTTTTTCCCATTTGTTTTTGGGTATTATAATTGTTGTATCATTGTTCAGTAAACATTTATGTAGTTTTGATATTAGTTTGCTGGTGTTAGTGATTTTCATTATATCTTCCATTAACTGAGGGGGATGGAGTGGGTTATTAATTATGTTAATCTTGGATTTTATTATGGATTTAATTTGTTGATATTGTAAAAACTGTTCTCCCCCAAGACCATACCTCTGGACTAATGTTTTAAACAATATGAATTGGTTGTTTTCAAATAAGTGATGGAGATGAGTGATTCCCTTTTGTCGCCAAGATGGAAAATGTATTGGTTTATTGCATAATTGAAAATCAGGGTTGAACCAGATGGGGGTGTGTCTACATGATGTTAGTGGGGATTTGTTAATTTTGTTTACTTGCCACCAGGCTGTCAGAGTTGATGCAATGGTAATGTTATTAAAATATGGCATTTTCTGAATTGATTTTGGTAGAAAGACAAGGTCTGAAATTGAGGTATCTTTACAATGGTTTTGTTCTAGTTCTATCCATGAATTATTATATTTAGTTTTATGAATCCACTTATATAGATATTGTAGCTGATTTGCTAAAAAGTAATACAGAAAATTAGGAGCTTCTAGGCCGCCTTGTGATTTTGTTTTTTGTAATTTTCCAATTGATATTTTAGGTGTTTTATTTTTCCAGTAGAAATGAGAGGTTAGTGAATCAAGTGATTTAAACCATTTTTCGGAGGGTGTTGTTGGAAGCATTGAGAATAGATAATTGACTTGTGGTAAGATTTTCATTTTAATTGTAGCAATGCGACCGATAAGTGACAGTGGTAGGTTAGTCCAGCGTTTTAGCTCATCTCCAATTTTTTTTAAAAGTGGAATATAGTTAAGATTATTCAACTCTGACAGTCTGGACGAAATGTTGATACCCAAGTATGTAATGTTGCCAGTGTGGAGTGGAAGAGATGAATCATGAGTTGTGGGATCCCAGGCACCCTCAGAAAGTGGTAATATTGTTGATTTATTCCAGTTTATTGTATAATCAGAAAATTTTGAGAAGGTATTAATAATTTTAAAGGTTTCTTTTAATGACTTATAAGGGTTTTGTAAACATAACAATAAATCATCTGCATAAAGACAGATCTTATGTTGAGTGTTTACGCTTTGTATTCCTTTGATATTATCATTTTGTCGTATTGCTGCTGCAAGTGGCTCTATAAATATAGCAAATAAAGAAGGAGAGAGTGGGCATCCTTGTCTGGTTCCTCTGTGAAGCGTGAAGCTTTGTGATGTGATCCCATTTGTTGTTATTGTGGCTCTAGGTGAAGTATATAATATTTTAATCCAGTGGATGAATGACTCTCCGAAACCAAATCTGTGTAGAGTGTTAAAAAGAAATGTCCAGTTAACTTTGTCAAATGCTTTTTCGGCGTCAAGTGATACAATTATAGTTTTGGTATGCTTTTGTTGTTGTTGGGCAAGGTTAATTAGGTTAAATAATCTGCGCATATTATCTGAAG